ATAACAAATATTCTAAAATATTTACCGATTATTTAACTATCCTTTATGTGTAATTTCCTTTATAATTTTGTACAATTTTATCTAAAGTCAATAAACTTAACTTGCTTAACAAAACTTTTGAAATTAATTTCTTTTTAAAATGCTTTAATTTTGTATTTATCATTTATACTTTTTATTATTTTTCCATTAAACATTTTTTTCAGTTCCACATTGACTTAGTTGTGCTGCTAAAAAGAAGTATACTCCCCTTCTTCCCTGAGGAAGAAAAAAAAAAAAAAAAACAAAATAATCAACAAAAAATTCCTTTACTAACTTCATGCAATGTTTTTCTTTTAGTCTTTTTTTAACTTCTACCACTTTTTTGTTGCTTGTTTGCCTGCGATGTTTTCCATTTAATCCTGTTGCTTTTTCCTTTCAACTGTTGTTCTTTCCAGTTAGTTTATGTGTTTGTAAGTTCGTTTTTTTTTTTTGCAAATATGTCCTTCATACTCTTGTTGTCTGCTGCTACCAGTTGAATATTTTCTATTGTGTATTTTATTGACAGGATAAACACATACATGAAAATAGCAACAACTACAACAGCAAAACTTTCTCATATACATACACACAGTCATAAAATAAGAATGGAAAACAAAATCTGTTGCATACTTTCAATGTCATGCTCTTTAAAAGGTGTCCCGTTGATTTGGTAAGCTTATATTAAAAGCAAAGAGAGTTGTTTGGTTTTCACAAACTCTCTTTATTTTCTTTATGTATTTATAAGAGCGTTTAGGTTTTTTGTTTGCTATTTTACATTCCTGTTGCTTCTGTTGTTGTTTCGTTGGGGTTCGAAGACTTTTTCATTTAACATGCAGTAAATATATTATGCTATTTTATTGAAAAAATCCCTCAAAATGTAAATGGTTTTTAGCAACATATTTTATGTTAATATTAAAGATATTTAATATGTATTTAGGGAAAACATTACTTAAGATACCCTCTAAAAATGGTGTTTGGTTAAAGTACTAAATGCTTTAATATTACAAAATTTTAAGACGGAATGATAAGCAAAAAAATGAAATCAATAAAATTGTTAATAAGAATGTCATTACTATAATGGCACCGGGATGGTATGAGTTATTTTTAATTAAATAATAATCATACGCACTGTATTACTTTCTACTCATTTGCTCCTTTATGTGAACTAACTAACTAACTAACTAACTAACTAACTAACTAACTAACTAACTAACTAACTAACCTAACTAACTAACTAACTAACTAACTAACTAACTAACTAACTAACTACTAACTAACTAACTAACTAACTAACTAACTAACTAACTAACTAACTAACTAACTAACTAACTACTAACTAACTAACTAACTAACTACTAACTAACTAACTAACTAACTAACTAACTAACTAACTAACTAACTAACTAACTAACTAACTAACTAACTAACTAACTAACTAACTAACTACTAACTAACTAACTAACTAACTAACTAACTACTACTACTAACTACCGAACTAACTAACTAACTAACTAACTAACTAACTAACTAACTAACTAACTAACTAACTAACTAACTAACTAACTAACTAACTAACTAACTAACTAACTAACTAACTAACTAACTAACTACTAACTAACTAACTAACTAACTAACTAACTAACTAACTAACTAACTAACTAACTAACTAACTAACTAACTACTAACTAACTACTAACTAACTAACTAACTAACTAACTAACTAACTAACTAACTAACTAACTAACTAACTAACTAACTAACTAACTAACTAACTAACTAACTAACTAACTAACTAACTAACTAACTAACTAACTAACTAACTAACTAACTAACTAACTAACTAACTAACTAACTAACTACTAACTAACTAACTAACTAACTAACTAACTAACTAACTAACTAACTAACTAACTAACTAACTAACTAACTAACTAACTAACTAACTAACTAACTAACTAACTAACTAACTAACTAACTAACTAACTAACTAACTAACTAACTAACTAACTAACTAACTAACTAACTAACTAACTAACTAACTAACTAACTAACTAACTAACTAACTAACTAACTAACTACTAACTAACTAACTAACTACTAACTAACTAACTAACTAACTAACTAACTAACTAACTAACTAACTAACTAACTAACTAACTAACTAACTAACTAACTAACTAACTAACTAACTAACTAACTAACTAACTAACTAACTACTAACTAACTAACTAACTAACTAACTAACTAACTAACTAACTAACTAACTAACTACTAACTAACTAACTAACTAACTACTACTAACTAACTAACTAACTAACTACTAACTAACTACTAACTAACTAACTAACTACTAACTAACTAACTAACTAACTAACTAACTAACTAACTAACTACTAACTAACTAACTAACTAACTAACTAACTAACTAACTAACTAACTAACTAACTAACTAACTACTAACTAACTAACTAACTAACTAACTAACTACTAACTAACTAACTAACTAACTAACTAACTAACTAACTACTAACTAACTAACTAACTACTAACTAACTAAACTAACTAACTAACTAACTAACTAACTAACTAACTAACTAACTAAACTAACTAACTAACTAACTAACGAACTAACTAAACTAACTAAACTAACTAACTAACAAACTACTAACTAACAAACTAACAAACTAACAAACTAACAACCTAACAACTAACACTAACAACTAACTAACTAACAACTAACTAACTAACAGACTAACTAACTAACTACTAACTAACTAACTAACTACTAACTAACTAACTAACTAACTAACTAACTAACTAACTAACTACAACTAACTAACTACTAACTAACTAACTAACTAACTAATAACTAACTAACTAACTAACTAACTAACTAACTAACTACTAACTAACTAACTACTAACTAACCTAACTACTAACTAACTAACTAACTAACTAACTAACTAACTAACTAACTAACTAACTAACTAACTAACTAACTAACTAACTAACTAACTAACTAACTAACTACTAACTAACTAACTAACTAACTAACTAACTAACTAACTAACTAACTAACTAACTAACTAACTAACTAACTAGCTAACTAACAAAACAAGGCAACGCATACTATTAAATCTTGCTTCTATAGAATCTTGCAATGGCTTTAGTCCTCTGTGACTGTATACTTTATATACTGTGCATTGTAAACAACATGTAAGCATTACTAACATTTGGGCTAGTATAGACTATTGTCCAGTTTAGAGCCCAGACTGTACGATCTAGTGCTATCGATAGTCTAGAAGTTCAGTCTACAGGCTAGGCTATATCCTGTCAATAGTCTATATATGTTACTACCAGTCGAGAGTTTAACTATAGTCCATTCTTGACGACAGTTTAGGTCTGTAGTTTAGCCAATCTAGCCCAAAGAACTGTCGATAGTCTAGGCTGTAGTCCAGTCTATAGTCGATTCCTTTCAACAGTTCATTATGCATTTTTAGCATTATGCATTTGTAGCACAAATTTTACTAAAGCTTAATAAAGCTCTCACAAATAATAATATAATGTTAAAGATTTTTTTGGAAAAATACCTATTTGATATGTCAACATGACAACCCTAACTATTGTCTTCAAAATACATAAATTTTGCTTATTTTAGCATTCCTTTCAAAATAAACACAGCATTAAAAGAGAGCACAACAATCGGTGAACGAGAGAAATGGAAAGTTTTCTTGTCTTTTTTTTTTCAAATCCCTGCATTTACTGTTACAAATAAACAAAGTATAAAGTGCTTAAACAACTGACGAAAGACCAACAGTTAGCTGTTGCTTCTAACTGCACACAGACGTCAAACCTAAACTATAGAGTGTAACATTAACGGTTGAAAAAAAAACTACGCATATTTTTAACGTTATTTCCGTTATTTGGGGTTTGTGTTTGAAAGGTAAAGGAAGAAGAGTGCGTTTATAAGGGAGAAGTGAGTTAAGGTGGATGTAAAGGTGTATTACTTGTAAATGTTTAGTATGTGAAGGTATAATAGTGTGAGTGAGTTGTTGTAAAAACGAAAGTAACTTAAAACCAAAACATAAAAGAATAACGAAGAAAGAAAGTAAACTGTTGGAAAAAAAACATAAATAGAAAAGCGGAAAAGGAATAGACAGAAAAAAAAAACATAGAAATTATGCAAAGAGAGATTAAAAGAGTGTTGCTAAACATCGCATAGAGCTCACGGGAAACTAAAGTAAAAGTGAGTGTGAATGTATGTGTGCGTGTAGCATTGAAGGAAAATCATAAACCTGTAAGCACAGTTCGAGTTGAGCCGTTATGAGTGTAGGATAGTAAACGCGCATCTTTAAAAAACAAAAATTACTTTTTGGTGTTTAAATCTAGTAAATCTAACAAAATTTTAATATAATTTATATATATAAAGTAAGAAAATATAAAAGAAAGAAAATGGAAAAGCAGTAACAACAACAACAATAGTGTATATACAACAAGTATTGAATTTATATTTTTGTATATGAAACGAACGACCGACCGAACTCCCCTCCCTATGTTGAAGTCTGTGTAAGAGAGTTTAACAAATACTAAGTGAGTGTTAGTGTATTTATAAAAAAATTTCAAAAAAGTGTGTACAAATTGTACATTTTTTTTTGTAAAAATAAAGAAAAATTTTAAAAAATATTAAGAAAAAAATAAATTTGTAAATAATTTCAAAACAAAAGGAAAATTTGAAAAAAATTTTTCTTTATAAAAGAATTTAACAAAAAAACTTTAATATTGTTTAAGTGGAAAAAACTTAACTTATACTTTTTAATAACTAAAATGGCTGCTAAAATAAAATACTATAAATTTTAAAGCAACAACTTTCAAAGTAATTAAAAATAAACAACTTTTTATTTAAAAAAAAATATTAAAAATAAAATATAATAAATCATAAAATGTTATAAAATTTATAAAAAAATCTAATAAAGTGTTAAATAAATATTATTTAAAATTAGAAAAATATTATATAAAAAATAAAATAATTAAAAAAAAAGATTACTTTAAAACAAAGGAAAAGTGCAAATAAAATAAAACAACGGAGTACCTTGGCCAGCAGTATGAATAAATAAATAAATAATACAAGCGAAATATATGAGTTATGACCTTGAGTACAGGTGATTATTTTTTTTAATAAAACCACTTTACATTACATTTAATTAAATTTTTTTCCTGTTTAAAGAAAACGCAAGAAAAAATCAAGTGAAAAATGTTTATTTCTTGAAAATTTTTTAACTTTTCTTCTTTCGACATTGATGAACATTTAAACTATAGTATTCTTAACAGATTTAACCTTCTAAAGTTGTTATAAAAAAAAACTTTGAATTTCGTATTTTTTTATTTTAGCAATTTTTTTTTGTACTTTTCTCTTCTTTTCCATTTGTTTTTTCCTTATTAAATATTAATAAAAAAACATTATTGATTGTTAATATATTATAAATAAATTTGTATATATTATAGTTTTATTTTTTAATGTTGTTTTCCTATATGTCCTTAAGATATTTATCTCTTACAACGGTAGCAATGTCATGGCAATTACCATGAAAACTGTCAATCATATTTGTATAACAACTACATATAAAATTTATGCAGCATATTAAATATTTTTTGTTTTGACAGATGTAAGTTGTAAAATTAACATTATTATTAATTACTCACAGATTATAAAAATTATTTAAATTGAACGCAAATGTTACATAGATGTTTTTCTATAGAAAAGTTGCTCAAAATGTGACAGACTTTTCTATACAATTGTTACCCATAACGTGACAGGTTTTTCTATAGAAAAGTTGCTCACAAGGTAACAGCTTTTCCTATAGAAAAGTTGCTCACAGTCTAACAGCTTTTTATATAGAGACTTTGTTCAGAGTCTGACAGCATTTTTAATAGAAAACTTGCTTGGATACTTTTTCTATAGAAAAGATGCTCAGAGTCTGACAACTTTTTCCCTAGAAAAGTTGCTTAGAGTCTGACAACTTTTTCTATAGAAAAGTTGCTCAGAGTCTGACAACTTTTTCTATACAAAAGTTGCCCTGATTCTGAAAGTTTTTTCTATGGAATAGTTGCACATTGTCTGACAACATTTTCTTTAGGAAAGTTTCTTAGATTCCGACAACTTTTTCTATAGCAAAGTTGCTCAGATTTCGACAACTTTTTCTATGGGAAAGTTGGTCAAAGTCCGACAACTTTATCTCTAGAAAAGTTGCTTAGAGTCAGAAGAAAAGTGGCTCAGAGACTCACAACTTTATCAGTTGTCTGAAAACTGTTTCTCTAGAAAAGTTCCTCAGAGTCTGACAACGTTTGCTCTTGAAAAGTTTTGCAAAATCTGACAACTTGTTCTTTAAAAAAGCTGCTCAAAGTCTGACAACTTGTTCTATAGAAAAGTTGCTCATAGTCCGACAATATCTTCTAAAGAAAAGTAGCGCAGCCTTTCGCTACTTCTTCTAAAGAAAAGTGGTTCAGTCTGACAACTTTTTCTTCATAAAAGTTGATCCGAGTCTGATAACTTTTTTATAGAAAAGTTGCTCAAAGTCTGACAATTTGTTCTTTAAAAAAGTTGCTCAAAGTCTAACAACGTTTTCTATCGAAAAGTTGTTCAAAGTCTGGTAACCTGTTCTCTACAAAAGGTGCTCAAATTAAGACAACAGGTTTTATAGAAAAGTTGCTTAAAGTCTGACAACTTTATCTCCAGAAAAGTTGCTCAGAGTCTGACAACTTTATCTCCAGAAAAGTTGCTCAGAGTCTGACAATATATTCTAAAGAAAAGTGGATCAGAGTCTCACAACTTTATCAGTCTCACATTTTTTTCTCTAGAAAAGTCTGGCAACTTTTTCTACAGAAAAATTGCTCAAAGTCTGACAACTTTATCTCTAGAAAATTTGCTCAGAGCATTTGACGACTTTTTTTCTAGAAAAGCTGCTCAGAGTTTAACAACTTTTTACTATAGAAAAGTTGTTCAAAGTCTGACAACTTTATCTCTAGAAAAGTTGCTCAGAGTCTGGCAATTTTTTCTCTATAAAAGTTGATCAGAGTCTGGAAACGTTTTCTCAATAAAAGTTGCTTGTTCTATATAAAAGTTGCTGACAACATTTTCTAAAGAAAAGTGACCTTTTTCCTAAAATTTTGTTCACAATCTGACGATTTTTTTTTAAATCAAACAAAACTTTTTCTTTAGAAGTCGGTTAAACGTTGCCTAAAATCTAAAAAGTTTTCTAAAAATTTCTATAGAAAATTGATTTAGATTATATACAAATCTTCTATGAAAAATGTTCTAGAGAAAAATGATATGGTGTTGTAATTGTTGTATCCTTGTATAGAGTCCTTTTTCTATAAGCCTTTTTCCTCAAATTTTTTTTTAAATTTTATTTGTCTGTATTATTTTTTATTTTTTTGGTCACAAAAAAAGTATTTACACAATTACCCCTACAAATGACTAAGAAAAATGCAATAAAATACAATAATAAAACAAACCCAAAAATAGAAAATTTGAAATTTTTTCACAAATATCAAACATTTTCCCTTTAAAACCTTTTTTCACAGTTACTTTTACATTTATAGACAAATTAAACTGGAATTTAATAGTTAAAATAGGGATTTATTTTGTTTAAAAGTTAAAAAGAATACAAAATAAATTTCTTATTTACATGAAATAATAAAATGAAATGTTTAATTAAATTGTTGAAAAGTATATGTATAAAACAAGAAAATTAAGATGTATTGTAAAGAGACTCATACCTTAGACACAACATGTTGGAATTAATTTATATAACAGCAGTAATATACTTAAGTAACCTTTAAAAATATTTTGATATCCTGCCAGGAGTTGACTTATAAAGGGAGCAGCTTTTTTTAGAAACAAAAAAAAAAAAAAAAAAACAGAAAAGTAGATGTATGTATTTTCATAAGTACGTGACTGAGTTTTAAATTTGACTAAAATATGAATAATAAAAAAATATGTTCTTTGAACATTAAAAATACAATTTATTTAACTGTTTTTATTTTGTTGTTGTTGTCTTTATTATTTGAATTGTGATGAATTTTTATATTTTCAAATATAAAACCAAAAACAACATCTGATGTCTAGCAGGCAGCAGGCAACAACTTATTTACTGGCAATTTAAATATGAATCATTTGCCTGATGATTATTGGTAACATTTTGTAGAGAAATTAATTTCGAAGAGAAAGTAGTGGGTTGTTGCCTAAAGTTCCAAAAAGTTTAAGGTCTCTGGGAAAATGGTATTCAGGTGTCAAAGTTTGCTTATGAAGGTGACTCTTTTTTTGGGATAATTGTTCTAAATGAAGAATTACTTTTTAATTGCAGGCAGTAAAATCAATAAGAAATAAAATTCCACTTTGTTAATAATTTTATAAATTTTATTTTATTGCCATTTATTAAATCAATTTCTAAAAAAATTTTCATCTAAAAACAATCCAAAAGTAGTTGAGCTGTAAATATTCTCTATAATTTCCATATTCTTTCTTAATATATGTTCAAAAAAAAAAAAAAAAAAATCCAAAAACGAATACTGTGTATTATGAAAAACTATGTAATAAATCTAATAAAAAATCATTTAGATTTGATGCAATTCATTTGCCACAGTTGAAAAACAATAACCAAAAATGAAAATTTGCATTTTATCTGGAAAATTGATTGTCATAAACAAAACTATAAATTTTATAAACTGTTTTTTTTTTTGTTGGCAGAATATTTTAGAAACAATAAAAATGTTATATTATTCATTCTAAAAGTGTATTTGAGCGTTTACAGAATTGGATACTTTTTTGGTAGCAAAAGCTTCTTGAAAAAGCTGTCAGATTCTAAACAATTTTACTTTTGGGAAAAGACTTAGAGCAACTGTTTCCTAGAAAAAGTTTTCAGATTCGAAGCAGAAAAGGTTCTCAAATGATGAACAACTTTATGTCGAAAACGTGTTCAGGCTGTAATAAGCTTTTTAAAGAAAAAAGTTTCGGACTCTGAGCAACTTTTATATGGGAAAAGTTGTCAGACCCTTAGGAACAATTTTATAGAAAAAGCCATCGGACTCTGAGCAACTTTCCTAAAGTAGTAGCCAGATATTCAGCAACATTTCTAGAAGAACTAGTCAGATTCTGAGCAACTTCTCTATGGAAAAAGTTGTCAGATTCTGAGCAACTTTTCTATGGAAAAAGTTGTCAGTCTCTGAGCAACTTTTCTATAGAAAAAGTTGTCAGACCCTGAGCAAGTTTTTTATAGAGAAAGTTGTCAGACTCTGAGCAACTTTTGTATAGAAAAGAATTTTGGAAGAATCAGCAACTTTTCTATATAAAAAGTTGTCTGACTCTGAGCAACTTTTGAATAGAAAAAGTTGTCAAACTCTGAGCAACTTTTGAATAGAAAAAGTTGTCAGACTCTGAGCAACTTTTCTATAGAAAATGTTGTCAGACTCTGAGCAACTTTTCTGTAGAAAAAGTTGTCAGAATCTGAGCAACTTTTGTGTAAAAAAAGTAAGCAGATTCTGAGCAACTAATCAATTCAAAACATTTCTATAGAAAAGTAACATTTCTATAGAAAAGTTGTCAGACTTTGGGCAACTTTTCTGTAGAAAAAGTTGTCAGACTCTGAGCAACTTTTGTATAGAAAAAATGTTGGAATTCAATTCAAAAAGCTTTCAGAATCTATAGAAAAGTTGTCAGACTTTGGGCAACTTTTGTATAGAAAAAGTTGTCAGACTCATTGTATCTTTTCTATAGAAAATGTTATCAGAATCTGAGCAACTTTTCTATAGAAAAAGTTGTCAGAAGTTGATTAGAACTTTTCCAGAGAAAAAGTTGTGTGATTCTGAGAAACTTTTCTATAGAAATAGTTTTCTGACTCCGGCCATCTTTTCTAAAAAGTTTTCAGATTCTGAGAAACTTTTCTATAGAAAGTTTTCAGACTCTAAGCATCTTTTCTATGTAAAAAGTTGTCAAACGCTAAGCAACTTTTCTATACAAAAAGTTGTTAGACTCTAAGCAATTTTTCTGTCAAAAAGTTGTCAAACTTGGTATAATATTTGACAAGTTAATTAAAGTTCAATAAAAATGGCTACAAATAGTTTGATTTTTGGTACAAATGTATTAAAATATTTAGGAATTCCC